TTATATGAAGTCTTTAAAACTTTCAATGAATTCTTCCACTTTTTAAACCTTAGGTAGATACATAGGTGCAGGTACTTTTGGCTAAGACTACTCAGTACTTTTTACGTGATATTATTTGTACAAGTCGAAGATCTTCCACCAGTTTGGACTGGTTCCCCCTTTGAGCCCATGAAGGTCAGCAGGTACAGACAATGGATGGATTCCATGAGTGTGTGGTGGAAACATTTATGATCAGGCATATTTAGTATTTCCTGATAGCATTTGAACACACCACCAGAGAGTTATGTGGACTCCTCTCATGGCCCCGCCCCCTATTGAAGGTATTTAAAGCATCTGTGGCATCACGGCTCCTCTGTGACTGGATTGTTTAAAGGTTTTTGCCTGTTTTAGAGAGATTGTTCATTCATATGCACATAATGATTGGGTTTGCTTTGTTTGTGTCTCCTGTTTGCCTCGTTCTGGTGCCTGTTTGGCTGATGTTTGTGAAGTCTGGCTGCCTTTATGTGATGTGGATGCCACTGATCCCCCTCAAGTCTGTAGAACAAAGACACCATTATGACAAGGTGTGGCGCACTTTGGCCAGGAGTCTTTAGTGGTTTACTGATTGTTTTTGAGGGATATGGCCTGAGGGTAGAAGCTGCTCCGGTGCCGGGATGTTCTGGTGCTTCGAGACCTGAAGCGCCGGCCAGAGGGTAGCGGGTCAAAGAGGTGATGACCTGGGTGGAAGGGGTCTGAGGATTTTTCCTGCCCTTTTCCTCACTCTGGAGGTGTACTGGTCCTGGAGGGAGGGCAGGGGGGCACCGATGATCCTCTCAGCAGTCCTGACTGTCCGTTGCAGTCTCCTCATGTCTGATCTGGTAGCAGAACCGAACCAGGCAGTCAAACGTGAGCATAGGAGCATATCTTAATATCAAGTTGAACCAGGAAATTTAACAAAAGATGGAAAAAGAAAAAAATTCAAAAGCCTGAAAAAGTTGCCAGTGCCCACCCGACTAGGATGCAGCTAGCACTAAAACAAGCGCTCCTCCTCCTCCTCCTGCTCACCCTTGTAATCCCACTCACCTGTTCACTCACATTGTTCATTCCAAACAAAGACCTTCAGCTCAACACTTCAACCAAAGACACCACCGGTATGATAAATATTCTGGACCATGCTGCCTGTGATATTTCATCTGTCTACATGATTGCTGTTGGGTTGATGTCGTATGTACAGTTTAATCGTTTGTTTGGGGGTATTGCTGTGCTTTGTTTGGTGCATCGGTTGCACTTGGTATGAAGTTAAAGTTAGTCAACTGGTTAAAAGTGTTTCATTTGATTTAAAAGCAATTCAGTGGTTGAATAAAACAACATTTGATTAAACTATTAATGATATTAAAAGACAAGTTAAAACACGATTTCAAAATTGATTTTGAGTTCAGAATAATTTGTTTAAATATGTTAAACGATGACTGTAGGAGCCTAAATCTATTTCTTTGGTTCTGGATTTGGTTCTTATTTTACCATGATTATTTCTATTTGGTTTTGATTTGTTGTTCTACAGTAACTTTGATATAGATTATGATTAACATTTTTATTTTGCTAAATTTATCTGTTGTTTGGTTAAATGTTGTTAATCATATTTTTGGATATTTGAATTCTGTGTTCATGTGGTGTTTTGGTTTATTGATTTGTTTTCAATATTTTGGTTCACTATATTAGGGTCCCTTAAATTTGCAAGGGCTCTTGGGAAATGAATGACAGTTTTTTGACTGCACACGCTTTGTATCCTCGTTTTGCTTTATGTTTCCGTCTGTGAATTAAATTTTTGTGAACTAAAGAATCCTGTTTAAGCCGCAACTTGGTGTCAGCTGGATTTTATCGTTGGAGTTCACCCAGCAAGGCATACAATGTGGATATTGGAAAGCTACGGGGAAAAGTTAGTCAAGCTGGGCTTCATGAACTTTAGACCATACAGTGACCATGATTTAATTCATCGTATGATTACAGTATATTGAAAATATTTGGTAAAATAATCAAACTTTTTGACTTCATTTAATGCAAAACTTAATTCAAAGAAGTTCATTAGAAATATTTGTAAAGAACTGGTTAAAAAAGTCATTCATCTCGTCATTATCATTGTCTCAGATGTACTTTTTGTCCATTGTAGGTTATCAACCTACTCCTGTACCTATTCTACTGTTGGAATAAATATTGGAAATGGAGTTGAGTTGCTCCAGCGTCCTTTTGTCTGAAGTCAGAACCTTTTCAAGTTTGGGCAGGAGCTGAAGGAACTTTTAAAAACTTGACACTTAATATCATGCACTTTTTAATTTTAATTTTAATTTCAATGTTCCCTTCAAATGATCAGCTTATCATCAAGCTCTGCAGAAGCCTGATAACGATCCTGATCATGTGAATGAGGTGTGTTGGAAACATCTAAAACATGCAGGATTGTGGCCCTCCAGGACCAGGATTGCCCACCCCTGCCTTACAGCCTCTCTGCTTCCCACTCCAGGCCCCATTTCCCCCTCACCCTGTGACAATAATGGATTTTTTTTCCCCTCAAAGTTATTAATATTGTTTTTAATATTATTGATGATAACGAGAAATGCTCCTGGGTGTGTCCTTGTTTTTTTTTTTTAATATATTTTTTGGGCTTTTGCCTTTATGTAGAGCAGTGGAGAGAGACAGGAAAGGGGGGAGAAGAGTGAGGGAGAGACCTGCAGCAAAGGGTCGTGAGCGGGATTCGAACTCACAACCGCTGCGTCGGGTGAACCAGGTGAGCTATACGGGCGCCCGGGTGTGTCCTTGTTGACGGGAAGGAACAAATGTTGGCAAACCTGCTCTGCAGCTACATGTCATGTTAGTGAGAGCGAAGAATAAGAAGCACAACTTCTCTAACTAACCACTGGACATCTGCAGGTACGTTTTCATGTGTATTAATGTCGTTGAATGTGTTGCGGCTGAGTAGCTCTTTGCATATCCAGCCTGTTAATTAATACTTTAATAGCACATTAGAGTGACGGTATCAGAATAAGGCAATACTTCAGGTGGGCTGTGAAGGTGCTCCGTTGAAAACAAAGTAGAGAGCTTTGAGTTGGAAGTGACGATTTGAACGAAGCATTCAGAAAAATACGCTTTTTAATGAAGTCACATTATGCTGACTATTATATCTGGCTATAGTTTGTTTTTTAAAGGGAGACGAGTCTTGTCATCGATTGTTTTCCAGTTCCAGCTGCCTAGCTGGGATTCAGTCTGGCTCTTTGTCTTTTCTTCTGGTGATTACGCTTCAAACACAAACACACTTTGCTATTTGATCACATCAAATAACAAAGAGGAATTCAAAAAATGCACATCAAACAATAGCTCGGGTCTTAGGGGGTTAAGAGAAGGGAGAAAATGTGAAATAATTGTTCTTAGTATGTTAATTTAATTATTGTTGTTTCTTATGCTTTTGCTTTACATTAAAAAAAAGAAGAAGTGATTTGTAGACCTGTACATAAGGCTCACAGTGTTTTATTCACAGTTCATCTTTTATGCCCGTCTTTCAGTTCACTTTCATTCCCATGCTGGGAGTTAAGACAGACTTTGTTCTTGAGGCTTTGAGCTTCAGCACATTCAGAGTGGAATTATACAACACATATTACGTTAAAGCAAATCTCTGCTTTGATTTGAGTAAGTTCACCTGAACATTGGCATCAGATGTTTTGCAAGTGGAATGAAGCTCAGTCGGACTGAGATCAGGTGACTGACGTATCAGGGGCGGTGCTTTGGGTCGTGAGCTCTTGCTTCTTTTTCATACTTTCATTGATCTGGCAGAGGAATGAGGAAAGAAGTCTGGTGTATACACTTTAATTGGATGATGAGGAAAGAAGAAGAAGGTATTTAAGTGGGTGTGATGAACTCAGGGTTACCGCAGGACAGTTAGTGGAGAGAGTCAGGTGACTGAATGAGGACATCTGGTGGATGGATGGAGAACGTCAGGGTGGTGTGAAGGAGGCTGATGTGTTGATTGCACAGCTGGGGGATAGTTTTTTTTCCCTTTTGAATTAATACTTTAGCAGATATTGCGACTTATATTTTTGTACTTTTACATAAGAAGTTGAATGTCTCATGCAGAACTTTTACTTACGATGTAGAATTTTTTTATATTGCTGTATTGGTACTGGGCTGCAAGGTAGCATCGTTGCCTCACTGCTAGAAGGTCGCCAGTTCACATCCCTGTGAGGACACCTGGGATCTTAGTGAGAATTAAGTGGTATATAGATAATGGATGGATGGCTGTATTGGTACTTTTGCTGAAGTAAAGAATCTGAATTCTTCTTCCACCGCTGCACAGTTCTTTTTATACTGATGTACTTGAACTAAAGCTGAGAATTGGTCCTTCAGTGTAATGCCCTTTATCTCTATCACCTGTAAAGGGTTGCGGGGGCTGAAGCTAGCTGACATTAGACCCTGGACAGTGCTCCAGTCTACCACAGTGCGAATGCAAAGAGACTTCCAAACATCCATTTGAATTTGAATGTGCTGAGGACCAGAGCCTGAAGAACCAAACATCTGTCGTTGCACAAATATGTTGTGGCCGGTAATTCTGTGTATCAGTTTCTGAAAC